AATCTCTGCCCAGCTTCACAAAAGCAGACAAACGCACAATCTTTTTCCACCTGTTTCTTCCACTCCGGTTGCCGTGCAAAGTGAGGTGATCTTTACAGATTCACAGGGAGCGTTTTGCAAACACTCCCCTCTCACAGCAATGGTTTCTTCCCTCACAGGCTCAATCTACCTGATTATGTTCCCTTCTAATCAGTAACCTCAGTTTCTGTAGTAATAAGTGTGCTGGCTGCTTTATATAGGCTTTCTCGGAGACTGAAGCAGAAACCATAAAGGAGAATTAAAGGAGCTGATTATTATGAGGACACCTGTATTTTTGTCTAGCCTTCATGTGAACTCGGCAGCGTGCTCATTTATGCAAACATGTTATGAAAGAGAGCAAAAAGGAGGGCACGGAAAGAAGAGCCTGGACCTGTAAAGTTGTGCACCTGTGAGATGCTAGGAGGGGAGACAGCAAGTCCAGTAATGTCCTGTGGTGCTCAAAACACATTTGAACTTCGTATGAAAATATCAAAATAGAAGTGCTTGACATCCAAATACCTCCCTTCAGAGCTACTTTGAAAAATCAATTATCAAATCTAAAACAGACTGACATGAAACCCAAGGCATGATGCAGAAGTTAATTCCTAAAGCAAATGGAGATTACTGAAGATTGAAGCAAAAATCCATGCATGTAAACCCTGATTTTTTAAATAAAAGAAAAAATATCAGTAACTTACTTGAGATTATATTTGAAGTTCCACCTTGAATTCTTCTCTTTGCAAGTACAGAATTGTGCCAGCCTTGTGTAATGACTGTTTACCCAGAGCAAAAGATTGAAGTGGATTTTCAGATTAAAAATAAAACTCTTAAGTATGTCAATCCCCATCTGATCAAAGCACATAAACTAATTTTTTCAAGTACTTCATTAACAATATACCCAAGAAAAGCTGCATTTCTCTCAGTTTTCTTTAAAGAGGAAGTTGTTAAAAATGTTTGAAATCCATGTAAAGAGACCAGAAAAATAGTTAGGGCTGCTTCTATTTCATCTAGTAGACTTAGGGCCGGACTCAAGTACTGGCAAATGGTAAGCGCTTAATACGTGTTTATTTAAAGTGAGCAAAATCCTATGACATAAAGGGTGATTGCCATTGCCACTTATATTTTCAATAGCCAAGTTCTGCTCTTACCTTATTTTTAAATAAGCCACCATCTCCCAGAGCCTCAAAAGATATTAAATGCTACTGTTTTCTTTCCTAGAAAATATTCCGCAATTACAACCATGTGCTACGATGGAAGTAAGTTACAATGTGAGTGATTGTTTTTTCCTTGCTCCTTTTTTCTACTCTCAATTTTCAGATGTGGAAATTTCATTTGGAGAGAACAGGAGGTGTTGGTGGGGAAAACTCATTAATCGTACCGTATCCCCTTGCCTACAAAGAATACAGCATCCAAATTACAGAAGAACTAAAGAAACCTTGTAGAATGAGTATATAATTAGCAGTGCTGCTAAGTGAATGGAAATGGAGGTTGCCTAACTTAATTAACTGTAATCATTACTCACTGTCGTCCTGCTTAGAAAGATTAGTTGAGGGTATTTCTTCTGCGGTACCCCATTAGACATTTCTACTTCCATCTTAATATGAAAACGATTATGCTACAAAGACAGTACTGTCATTCCCTTTCAATCAGATATAAACTTTACCGAATAAGCCTGTTCCATGTCTTAGTTCAGGGAGAGGAACAGGAACAATGAGAAAATATTCTGTGGGATGAAAGCTTGAGAAATTAAGAAAATGTAGATAATTATAGAAGTGAGTGGCTTGAAGAGAAAATTAAAAGGAAACCTATAGAGTAATTTCTATAAAGAAACTAGCTTTTGGCCAAAGAGGGGGCAATAACAGATGATGATCAAAAACAGAAAATTAAAAAAAAAAAAACAGAAAATTAAAGTCAACACAGTATAAATAGGTGACCCTATATGGTTTTGTTGGTCACAAATGCACAAAAATGCAGGGTATCCAAAGGCCCTTCAAGGACACTGGTTAAGGACTGCTTTCCTATAATTTATTTATTTTTTTAGGGGACATTTGCATCTAGGAAGCATTTATTCTTTTGAATTAATGAAAATCATCTTGCGTGCACACGTACAAAGGACCTTCTCATGAATACAAGAATAGGAACACCTGTGACTGCAGCACTGACAGCATTTTGCTTCATTTGGCTTCTGTCCACCAGCGATAAGAAAGTTCACAGCAACACTGACTTTGTTTTCTAAGTCCATTTCCCTGTTCTACAAATTAAGCCGAGTCCACTACTGCATTTCAAGAATCTCTCCAAGAAGTCTGCAATGTTAACGGGGTTATCATTATGCCCATTTCACAGGCAAAGAGACTGGGACTTGGAGAGGTTTCCCAGTCACCTTGCTAATAACAAATGGCTAAAAACCCAGCTCTGCTGGACTCCCTTTTTGAGTATGTCTCAAAAAGGTCATGTGCATAAACATTCATCTGGGCACCTTGGTAAATGGTGGCTACTGAGTCAGTATTTGTAGGTGAGACCTGAGAATCTGCATTTTTAACAGGCTCTCAGATGTTGCTGCTGCTTCTGCTGCTGCTGGCTTTTGAACTGTCAGCACATTGGATAGTAAGGCCTTAGAGGAGAAGGTCTCTCTCCTCTGATATGAGAACCACCTGGGGATCTTCCAACCCTCCCCATACCCAAGCTGCACTTCATCTCAAAAGAAGAATCTCTACATGTGAAACTCCAGTGATTCTAATGTGCAGCCAACTTTGGGAATCTGTGCTTATGGACCCACTGTTCTCTTAACAGGTGTGCATCAGAATCAAGTGAAGAGATAGTACAGAAAGCAGAAGCCCAAGTTTATTTAAATAAGGATAAGACTTGGGCCTTTGCATGCTTAAGTACCTCCCCAGGTGATTCTGCTATCTAATCAAGTTAGAGAACCACTCTCTAGACCAAGCTCTTTCAAATCAATCAGCTGTGTGCTGTCATGAACATTTTCAAGTTTGATGAGACTTCTTCCCGGCTAAACATCCCAGAGTTTCTCAAAGCACAATATCCCCTTCCACAGACATATTATACAAACACAGACACACAGACACAGACACACACAGACACACACACACACAGACACACACACACACACTCTTACTCTTTTGTGGTGATCAGTGTCCTCATTATATAGTCATGCTTTTTTTTTTTTTTGCTTATTATAGTCAGGTACACATTAAATCTATTACTCTGTCAGTACTTCAGTGGAAAGCAGATCTAAGTTATAGGACATTAGCTTTATACCCAGGGTAGCTATATAATTAAAAGTAATCGATTTTGAAAGGATATGGTAGTAAGTTCAAATGAATACAAAGAAATGATCCCTGAGCTCAATAACAGAAGCACAATGTATCACCCTGTAGTTAAAGCCCACTTCATAAATGATCCTCAGCTCTTCTTCAAGGGCCTGCGAAGATGAGGGTCATTTTGACTAGTGACACATTTTGCCTTCAGGGGAGTTTTAGCATGAGTGCTGTCAGATTATATCTCGTTAAATATTTTTGTTGGCAGTGAAGGGAAAATGTAAGCATTATTAGAAATGTAATTAGTAGAGTACAAATTTTACTTCCTTACAGCTCCTAAGAGCACATAATTATAATAAAATTCTTCTGAATATTTCCCTTACCATTAATTCAGAATACCAAGCTATTAGTTTCAGTGAGGGTAGCCAGGGCCATTGGTTAGAACTCTGGGTATGGTGTCCTGCAGAAAGGTGCTCCCAAGAGGAAGATGTATAGGGGCTAAAATCTGTACTTTTCCTCCATTCACCCATCTTTGTGAACCTGGCATAGGTCAGAGTAGGATTTCTTAAATAACTGGTTCTCCTCTGGGTTGGGAGGCGAGGCTCCTTTGTCTAATTTTCAGAGCACCATAGAAGCTAGCAGCAGCTCTGTGGATGGCACAGTGCAATGGAAAATGGTTGGGGCTGCTGTTGGAAGGCATTAGGAACTAACTGTATAAGCTAAGGCAACTTATTTAAACTTTTAGCATCACGAGGCCTTCCACCTGAACAAGAACATGGCAACATGCCCAGAGAGATTAAGGGCTCAGGCTCTATAGCAAAAGAAGATCAAGTAATGCTTGAATTCCAATTCTGCTTATGTCCTAGCTGTGTAAACTGGACATGTCACTTAAGGCATGATTTCATTATCTGCAAAATGGGCACGATATTAGTTCCAGCTTCCTAAGGGTATTGTTTGGACCAACTGCAAGGTGTTTAGCACAGCTCCTGATGCAGAGTTAGTGCTAAATAAATAGTAGCCACTGTTTATCAACAATAATAACATGATAACTCACATTTCCAAGGCTTTGGAGGAAATTAAATCAAATGATACATACAAAATAAGACTCTGAACTGAAAAACACTAATCCTGTTAGAGACGAGTTTTCTTCCTTTTAGTAATGTATTTTTTCCGTATCTTAATTTAATCTAATTTTTAAAAAGATTTTAAAAATTTATTTGTCAGAGAGAGGAGCGGAGAGAGAGCGAGTGAGTGCACAAGCAGGGGGAGTGGCAGACAGAGAGAGAAGCAGGTGTCCTGCTGAACATGGATTCCAGCATGGGACTTGATACCAGGACCCTGGGATCATGACCTGAGTTGAAGGTGGATGCTCAACCAACTGAGCCACCCAGACAGCCCTCCATATCTTAATTTTAAGGAAATAGTAGTAAAAAGTAAGCAAGAAATACAGCTCTCAAGGATCTGGCCACAATAACTGTTCTGAGAGGTGATGCCACTATTGAGAGCTGGAGGCAAACCTAATGCCTGTACATGGTAGTAAGAACCTAAATATACAGTACATCAGGGAATAGTGTGGACTCTGAACCAATGGGTCTGAAACTAGAACTCTAGTAACCTGGCAATGGGTTGAATAAATTGGAAGTAATCCCATTAAATGTTTGTCTCTGGAGTTATTATTCCCAATAATCACATTTTTAAAACTCCCACCTTGAAAATCATGTTTCCTGAAGTTGCCTCCAAGTAGCAGTAAGCTACCCATCTCCTATTACAAAAAGAAAAATGAGACTAGCCTGTAAACACATTACCCAACACAGTACCTGAAAGTGCAGGCTGGGAGGCATTATAGCTCAACGGTAGTCAATTTAAAATAAGAGGTTATAGAGTTTTCTCTCCAAGTGTAAAGGATCCCAGCTATAATTATTCTGCAGTAACCTTGGAAAGGTATACTTTTATTCAAACTGTGCTGTGATTTCAGCTTATCTCCTAGGGAAGGACTCTAGTTTTGGTCATTAAATTCACGGAAAGTCAAGTTCTTTCCAGCTCTTCCAGCCAGCTTTTTTTACAATTTCTGTAATCACATCACTGTGGCAAGCGTATGCATCTGTGTTTACTTAAGATTTTAAGCACAATTCTTCATGGTCCATTTATTTCTTAGTACTGTTCTTTTCCTTTGACTCTATGTCTTTCCCATGGAGTTATACCAAGTCTGAAGAAAAATGAAGGTAACAATGTGCTTCGTATACAGGAGTTTTTGCTTTTACAAGTCCAGGAGCATAAAAACTGATCTGGTTTTTTGTTGTGGATGATCAGTGATAATTTTCACATCTAATGACCAAAAAATCATTTTATGCTTGGAACTGTATATAAAGAAAATTTGCACAGAAATCTCACCACGTGGAACATCTCCACATATTAAGTTTTCATATAAACGTGAACATCTGCAAGAACTTGAGCCAACTTGGGAGCTATTATTTCAGTCAGCCTCCTTCATCAAACAGAGCTCAGATCGACCTTCCCTTACCTTTAAGCTTTTCTCAATGAACTGAGTAATGGAATCTTGAGGGACACCTTTAAACCCAGCAGTAGAAGCAAAAACCTTCCCCACTGATAAGCAAAAGGATATTTCTGGCAACAAAACCCATCAACTATAGGAGGTATATATCTAACTCAGTCGGCCTTCAATTAAATGCTAGTCAGAAACCCCTGAAGGCAACACCAAGGGCTTAGAGAAAAATAAAAAGACCACAGACATACTGTGGATGATCCAGTCTCAGAGAACGGTGGGCATTCCACTTAGCCCTGAGAGTATTTGGAAATTTCCTACATTCGAAACCTCAATTCTTCTAAGTCCTGGGAAAAAACCATTTAGTAAACTCATTAATTTATAACTGAGACTGTTAGCCAGCAGAAATCATGCTTCTACTTATGATCGACATTTGGTAATGACATGTATTACACCACATATATAAGAACATTGTAATATATCCTCTTTAACATCATAAAATCCTTAGAAATGATAAAATCAATCCAGTTAAGTAGGTATAGCCCTGGTCTTTACAAATACCCACAGGTTGATAATGCTGTCAAATACATCTTCTTAAAGCACCAGTTTCCTCATATTACCTGCCCTGGTTTTTATAACCATAACTCTTAATAGGACTTTTTCATCCATTGTCAAAATTTTATCACCTGCCATTCATTCCTCAACATACCATTCTGCCTTCTACTTAAATACACTGCTTTACAAGGCTGTCCTTTCATTCAGTTGGAAAATGTTTAGGAATAGAAAGACTGGTTTTATAGTTTCCTGCTCCATTTGGCCTCCTAGCATTTTTCCTATAGTGATTGCATAGCAAATACTTACTGTGTGTTTCACATTGATACATACACCAGCAGTGTCCAGCACCTGCTTATTTAAATAAATATTAAAGTCACCCAAAACTGGTATGCCTGCTTTTTTTTTTTTTGTAAAATACATTAGATCATTGCCATAATGAAAAATAGGAAGCAAACTAAACTCCACCAAGTAGGAGTTAAAATAATTCCAGTACATCCAGTTGACAGATTTATAGGCAGCCAAAAAAACCCTCTTCTTACAGAATATTTAAAAACATCAGAAAAAATTATAGTATATTAAGCAAAATAAAGCAACTTAACAAAACTGGTTATATGTGAACTAAAAAAGGCATTATTTCATGGTGGTTAAAAACCCAGGCTCTGAATCAAGCAAGATGGTTGAGGAGGAGGAGACCTAATATCATCTGCTTCCAGGAGTTCAACTAGGTAGTTCTCAAATCTTTCTGAACACCTACAAACTCAACAGGAGATGGAAGAGAAGGGCAGCAAATCTAGGAACAGAAAATCAACCACTTTCTGGAAGGTAGGACATACAAAGTGAATTCAAGGCAATATACGAGAAGAGAGACCTTGGTGGAAGAGGCTGACTCCCAGCAAGTGGTGGAGCAGTGGAGCACAAAATTGGAACTTTTAGAAGTCTGCTCCACTGAGGGATGATCCTCCAGAGGCTAAGCAGGGGTGGAGCCCTCACAGGAACAGTGTGGTCTCAGGTCCCATAGGGTCACAGAAAGATTGGGGGTGTCTGAAGGTGTCCCTGGTATTGGACAGGGGAAGCTGGCTACTGAGAAGGAGCCAAGGAGAGGGCTCTTGGCTTGGGCTTACCTTAAACAATGATCCTAGGCACACTTGGGCCATTGCTTTTGGAGTGGCAGATCCAGAGAGAACCCCTCCTTCCTCCTCTGGGAGGAGTGGGGGGGAGTGTGAATCTGCTGGGTTCGGAGACTCCAAATGGAGCTGTGCGCCAAAGACAGAAATGCCTAGTCAACGTGCTGGGAGAGCATGGAGTGTGGTCAGAGACCAGGGAGACAGGAGGGATTGACTGCTTATCTCCTAAGGGGCACTGAGGAATGGGGCCCAGAGCTCTCGGCTTCTCCAGGCTGGAGATTAGGAGGCCGCCATTTTCATTCTCCTCCTCCAAAGCTCTACAAAAAGTGTTCAGGGTACAAAAGCTATGAGAGCAAACCCTAGCAGATTACTTAGCCCGACCCCTGGAAAGTGCGGTAGAATTCTACCTCAGCAAAGACATTTGAGAATCACGGCAACAGGCCCCTCCCCCAGAAAATTAGCAGGAAACAGTAATAGTAGGAAATTTTAACAGTCCCCTCACTGAAATGGACAGATCATCTAAGCAAAAGATCAACAAGGGAATAAAGGCTTTAAATGGCACACTGGACCAGATGGACATCACAGATACATTCAGAACATTCCATCCCAAAGCAACAAAATACACATTCTTCTCTACTGCACATGGAACATTCTCCAGAATACATCACATCCTGGGTCACAAATCAGTTCTCTACTGGTACGGAAAGATTGGGATCATTCCCTGCATATTTTCAGACTACAATGCTTTGAAACTAGAACTCATTTACAATTGCACCCAAAATCATAAGATACCTAGGAATAAACCTAACCAAAGACACAAAGAATCTGTACTTAGAAAACTATATAATAGTCATGAAAGAAATTGAGGAAGACACAAAGAAATGGAGAAATATTTCATGCTCATGTATTGGAAGAACAAATATTGTGAAAATGTCTTTGCTACCTAAAGCAATCTACACATTTAATGCAATCCCTATCAAAATACCATCAACTTTTTTTCAAAGAAATGGAATAAATAATCCTAAAATTTATATGGAACTAGAAAAGACACCGAAAAGAGGAATGTTGAAAAAGATACCCAAAATTGTTGACATCACGATGCTAGACTTTAAGCTCTATTACAAAGCTGTCATCATCAAGACAATATGGTACTTGCACAAAAACAGACACATAGATCCATGGAACAGAATAGAACAGTCAGAAATGGACTCTCAACAATATGGTCAACTTATTCAAAAAAGGAAAGAATGGCCAATGGAAAAAAAAGACAGTCTCTTCAACAAATGATGTTGGGAAAATTGGACAGCCATATGCAGAAGAATGAAACTGGACCATTTCCTTACACCACACACATAAATAGACAGGAATCCATCAAAATCCTAGAGGAGAACACAGGCAGCAATCTCTTTGAGCTTCGCCTTAGCAACTTCTTGATAGACATGTCTCCAAAGGCAAGGGAAACAAAGCCAAAAATGAACTATTAGTACTTTATCAAGATAAAAACCTTTTGTACAGCAAAGGAAACAGTCGAAAAAACCAAAAGACAACTGACAGAATGGGGGGAGATATTTGCAAATGACATATCAGATAAAGGGCTAGTATCCAAAATCTATAAGGAACTTACCAAAGTCAACACCCAAAGAGCAAATAATCCAATCAAGAAATGGGCAGAGGAAATGAATAGACATTTCTGCAAAGAAGACATCCAGATGGCCAACAGACACATGAAAAAATGCTCAACATCATTAGCCATCAGGGAAATACAAAACAAAATCTTAATGAGATAGCACCTCATACCAGTAAGAATGACTAAAATGAATCGATCAGGAAACAACAGGTTTTGGTGAGGATGTGGAGAAATCAGAACTCTCCTACACTGTTGTTGGGAATGCAAGCTGGTGCAGCCAGTCTAGAAAACAGTATGGAGGTTCCTCAAAAGTTGAAAATAGATCTACCCTATGACCCAGCACTCACACGACTTGGTATTTACCCCAAAGATATAGATGTACTGATCTGAAGGGGCACATGCACCCAAATGTTTAGAGCAGCAATATCCACAATAGCCAAAGTATGGAAAGAACCCAGATGCCCATCAACAGGTGAATGGATAAAGAAGAAGTGGTATATATGTACAATGGAATACTATGCAGCCATCAAAAAACCTGAAATCTTGCCATGTGCAATGACATGGATGGAACTAGAGGGTATTATGCTCTGCAAAATAAATCAATCAGAGAAAGACAATTATATTGTCTTTGATATGAGAATTTGAAAGGCAGGGTGGGGGGGCTGTGGGGGAAGGGAGGGGAAAAAATGAAACAAGTTGGGACTGGGGAGTGAGACAAACCATAAAAGACTTTTAATCTCAGGAAACAAACTGAGGGTTGCTAGGGGGTCAGGGCAGAGGGATAGGAAGGCTGGGTTATGGACATTGGGGAGGGTATGTGCTATGGTGAGTGCTGTGAAATGTGTAAGCCTAACGATTCACAGACCTGTACCCCTGGGGAAAATAATGCATTATATGTTAATTAAAACAAAAACAAGAACAAAAAACCTAGGTTAGAATCCTGGCTCTGTTCCATGGTACCATGGTGATCACAAATGAGTTACTGCACTTTGTTATTGCACTGATTTCCTTATTTCAAAATGGTATAATAATAGTACTATATCATAAGATTTTTGTGAGGTGTAACTGGGTTTAATGTTGAAAATGCCTGGTGTATATAAAATGTTCAATAAATGTTAGTCATCATTACACAGTTCTCAACAGAACTGTATGTAGCAAACACTTAATACTGGTTATTTCTGAATCTTAAACTTATGGGCAAGTATTTCTTTCAGTGAGTTCTTCTCTATTCTACTGTAGACAATGAGCATGCATTATTTTTTATTAAAAAGAAAACCAATTCTGGTTCCTTTTAAAATTGGCAAAATGCTTACTGAAGTGGACATAAGTAAAATGTACACATAAGTAAGGGAAGCACACTTGGGAGCTGAACAGAACTATTGGCCTCAGAAGCAGCATGTTGCCTGCGAAACAGTAGATGTACTTCTCCTACACTGTCATATTTCACTAAGAATAAGAATTTCCAAGTTCTCACACATAAACTTGCCCTACTTCAGAAAAGAAGCCCTGTAGAAATCTCTTTCCTATAATTCATAACCTCATCAATTATACGAATTGCCTGCAGGGGAGATAGCTGACTCCTTCCTTCAAGTTCCTAAGAAGTAGGGTTCATGCTATCTTTCCATTCTCTCTTGAGACTATTGAAATAAAATGCATTGGGAGTGAGAGAAATAAAACATACTTAGACAAAGTGCACTATGTTTTCCAACCACTTTAACTTAACACGAGATCCGTTAGCCTAATCAAATAGGAACATCAGCAAAAACATTTAAGCATAAAATAAAGTTGTTTTTTTTAGTGGTGGGGGAGGATGACAAGGAAGAGTGAGAAAAAGAGAGATTCCAGCCTAAAACTTCACTGGCAGAAGACAAATTAAAAAGTGAAATGTGAGATAACAGAACATCTGATGTAATATTGTAGCATTAAAACTCAATTATTTAAAAAAAAAAACACTCAATTATTACCTCAACTTTTTCAGCAAATCTGTCCTTAGCATGTAAGTAAGCCCAGGTGAAATCACCTTGTTCATATATCTAATCACAACATTTCTTATTTCTTATTTTTTTTAATGAGCTACTTCATTTTCTTGGATGCCTTTCAGGGAAAAAAATGTGCCTTGTGGCTCTTCCTGTTTCTAAAGATGCCTGTATATAGTAAGTGCTTAATAATTGCTTGATGAAAAATATATGTTCAGCAAGTGAGGCAAAAAGAAATGATTTTCTTTTGCAATGAACTAAGAGAGATAGAGGACTAAAAAAATGCAGAGATGAGGAAGAAGAGAAAATGAATGAACACAAGATAATGATGTTTTATCAACATCAGGAATTCTAATCTCTACATACACCATTAATGAATGTATTCATTCATATAAAAAGTTGATTTCCAAAGCATTGGCACAATGAACATAGTTAAGATTGTCCTTGATAGATGAGAAGTAGTATTGTAAGTGATTTTCATGCATAATTATGTCCTCCTCATAGCAACCCTATGAAATAGGCACTATTATTAACTCCATTTTACAAAAGAAGAAACTGAGGGAAAGAGATTAAGTGACCAACCCAAGAGCACAGAGATGAGGTGAAAAGGAGTTGAATTTCAACCTTAGAAGTTTTGGCTGTGGAGTCTTCCCTTTTAACCACTATATTCTCAACCCTTATTCTACATTCCCTCCATTTACATAGGTGTTAACCCCCTATCCCTTTATTAAAGTCCCTTGAGCTAGATAAAATTAATGTTACATGTTTGACAGGGAGAAAAATCAGACAGAGGTGACTTGGCCTGACCACTCAGCAATTTACTGGCAGGGAAATCTTCTTTTGGAATCAACTGATGTTCTGATGGCATCCACATTGTCCTATCCCTAATTCCCAGCGTTGTGGGCTATTTCTCAGGAACATGCTCTACAGCTGGAAGGAGACATAAACAACTCACCAGCCTAAATCTGAGGCATCTTGCTCAATGACTTTGCCTTCTCCTTCTGAATCCATCTCTTCTAATTATTTTTTTCTTATTCCTTAAACCAGTCTAATTTCACCTTACTTATATTTTTTAAGAGAGAAATATGTATTCTTGCTTTGGAGAAAAGTGATCAGCTTCCTTTTTCTCCTGGAATGGATTATTGGCATTTCGAGGCCTCCTTTGTGAGCATTCCACACTCCTTCTCAGAGCCATGCTTCACCATTTTTACTGGTCCTCAGAAAACTTCCCCCTTTCCTGCTAGCTTCTGGCATCACTTTGTTGCTATTTCTTGTTCTTTGATGTTTCCCATATCTAACTGTTCTGATTCTCACCTCTGCTTTCTGTCACATTTATCCCTCTGCTATTGTTTCCTGTTCGGCAGGCTGATGACCAAAGGAACAGCATCATCTTTCATTGTGCTTCTCTGGCTTACTCCTGAAGTCACAGGCAGCTTCCTTCCCACATAAAATCCCTAGTCTGAGCTGGAAGATAAATGACCATTAGGGAAGCACATATTTTGTATGAATGGAAACCTTTGGTCTTCCAGCCTCTTCCTGTGCCTTTCAGCTTTTAGGGATAGCGGCATGGTTCAGGTTCAACTTTTGAAAGGACAGAACTAGAGCCTTATATATCACATTTTTGCTGTCAATAGTTAAGAGCTATTGCTTTGTATTGAAAGCATCGTGGCTACACTCTTGAGTCAGAAGTCTCTCGTTTCATTAATTAGGTTTTGGGATGGTGTCCTGGAATGTTATCTAGTGTCTGTGAATTCTAAGTTGGTTTGTCCAGCAAGCATATTGTCAGTGTATATGGTAAGTAGTAGTTTGCTCCTAATATTATTTGTGCTCTTTCAATAGTTTAGATTGTTTTTATAAGGGAGAATGTGGAGTTTGAGCTTCTGTTTTAATCTGAGGTTGAAAAGAGAAAAAAGGGACAGCTTTTCCAGTATGCTTTCTAGGCTTTTCTGAACAGTGCAGAGATGCTCAGGAGGAAGAAAAAGTTGGTATTTTAAATGGAATCTTTCAGACGCTAATTTGAACATAAAATTTTAGTGGAAATAACCTCAGATTTATGCAGACATTTGGATATTTTCCTCATCTCTGACAGTAACTACTATGACTTTAGAAAAATTGCTCCATCTTCTGAGTCTCAGCTTTCTAATCTATAAAATAAGAGGGTTGAACTACATAGCTTTTAAGGTCCCATCTAGATTTAGCAGTCTATGATTTATATCAATTTACTTATACACAATACAGGCCCTGTGAAACGTACATTTATACAATTATAGAGATGAACACTCAGGACTCCATTTAATAGATTCCCCTGACACAACGGCTGTACTACACCGCTAATGGGTACTTTCCCCTGAAATAAGTAAGCTATCCTACAAACACTAATGGAAGTGACCCCAAAAGGTTTCCCAAAAGGAATTCAGGAAACCTAATAACAACAACAAAAATCAAACAAACACTAGCTGTGGCATACAGACTGAATAGATCTATACCAAGTTCTGATTTGCTACTGGTTCCCTCATCTCAAATTACTTCTATCAGTAACTGGAGATAGAGCTCTATCTCCAGACATTGAGATCCTGCCCCCTAGGTAATGATAATAGTAATTGTAACATATAACCCCTTTTAAGAGACAAAATTTCTTTCCAACACACCTACAAAGTAACTATGTCATTCCTCATTTTAAAAATAAAGAAAGGGGCAGAAAGAGGCTGAATAACTTGCCAAAGGCCACAGTTGTTAAATAGCAACACTAATATTGGAACTCAGCATTGTCTCCAGAATCCATGCATCTAAAAACTCCCTTTTCTAACATGGTGGTGTTCATCTATTTTCTTGTTTGCCTATCTACTATGAGAAGAACTGCATGATTCTTCAGAAGACCCATCAGAGTCAGGAATGTAACCCTAGGTTGCAAGATAGAGCAACTTTTAGACTCAATCTTTCTGAGCAGAATTTTCAGCATGACCTCACAACTGGTCAAACACTTTTTTTAAAATTTCTTTAAAAAATATTTTATTTATTTATTTGAGAGAGAGAGAGAGAGATAGAAAGAGCACTAGCGGGAGGAGGAGAGGGAGAAAGAGAAATTCAAGTGAACTCCACACTCAGCGTGGAGCCCAACACAGGGTTAAATCTCATGACGCTGAGATCAGGACCTGAGCTGACATCAAGAGTTACAAGCTCAACCAACTGTGCTACCCAAGTGGCCCTGGTCAAACATTTTAAATGAGTGGTTACATATTTTCTGATATTCTCTCCGATATCACCCATGTGTATGAACCAAAGGAGCTGACTTGTGCTCTCAGAATGCAAAATTGATACTAAAAATGAAGGGCACACTCTGGGATTGGCCACATAGTATGAGAGTTTATAAATTTTAAATACTTGTTTTTTCAGAATACATGAAGAACTGTGAATAAGTTTAAGAGCCTCCATGATATTCAGTCTGATTGGAAAGGGAGAGTTGCACAAACTTTACTAAGGAGGCGCAACAGAAAACTCCTGGTCAGACTTCCTAAGTTGTGTGACACTGTATTCATTTTCTTATAGTCACACCCAGGTGAAATCCAACAGACTCAACAAACTCCACATATAACTAGTTTTTCTCTAGGGTATTAAAACAAGCAAGCAGCAAATCCACCAAATCAATGTAGTGAGTATCATTTAACCAGGACACATTTTTTCCCCCAAAAGTGGTGCACAACACAGGAAATGAATTTATTACACCATGAGAGCACATTTAATTACCTAATACCAGTGCCTAAAATCTCATGTTGTGTATACAAATTGGCACGCACACATTTTTATAGCAAGAACATAAACTTTTCAAACTGAAATGCCTAAATGGTTTTTAAAGATTATTTTCACTAAGGTGAAATCTGGTCAGAAAATGAAAATGTAGGCCTTTCAGTAGGTGAAAATGCCAACCTGTCATTTTTAACCCTGAATAATCACAATTGTAGTGATTCGAGCAGTGTACCTTCATCCGATGTCATCTAGCACAGTATGGAACTTTTGTGTGAAATAGACCAAACAAAAGTTTTTTTTTTTTTAATTACATAACTGACTAATTCTTGGACACTTCCCCCACCAACCACAGAGCAATCACCTAAATAGTTCACAGCATCCCCAAAAGAAATGAAACTGCACTCTGGACTCCTTAATTTGCCACCTTTCAGAGATAAGGTTAATAGAATTAAGTTAACCATAAAGATTATTAGAAATTGAATGCTGTATCCTTAGATGTCTGAGGTACTTTAATGCATTTCAATAAATATGAGGTTGGGAAACATAAAAGGAAAATTTATGATACTAATTTAAAAAGTATCTTTCTACATCTCTTGTGCATGCTATGGCATAGCCCTTGATGTTTCTCTACTCACAAATATTGTTGAAGGGATAGGACGGGGGCCCCCAACATTTCCAAAGAAATTGGAGTCAAATGCTCAATATAATATTTGGAACATCATATGAAATGAAAGTTATTTCTAAGAGATTCAGCTGTGAAACATTTAAAAATATCCACTGACGGAAAGTATATAAAGAAGCTAATCATAAGACAAATGATGTAATAGTGATCATTTTTATTATCATCCTAATTATCCAGTTTAGGTTTACAAACCAGAAGAAATTAAAACAAATCTTTTTTTTACTATTTTTCATAGACATATGTTTTTAAATTTTTTAAAAATTATTTATTTATTTGAGAGAGACAGAAAACGAGCAGTGGGGAGGGGCAGAGAGAAAGAGAGAGAGAGAGACGTAGACTCCCCACTGAACAGGAAGTCCAATGTGGGGCTTGATCCCAGGACTTGGAGATCATAACCTGAACTGAAGGCAGATGCTTAACCGACTGAGCCACCCAAGCACCATTTCTTTGTACTTTTATATATATTGACTATAAAATGGTATCAACTTGATTTTTAAATTAGAATAACTTTTCTGTCATAAACATTATGATTTTATAAAGGGAAAGGAAGTGATGATGATGATATTATTATCAATATTGGGTATCAGAGAAACTGTGCCTGATACTTTTCTTATGGCATCTTATGAATTATTATGATGATAATTTTATATATAAGGAAATTGAGTCCTAGAAAGGTTACATAACTAGTTTAAGGTTATACTGCTAGAGAGTGACAGTAAGTTTAAATTTAGATTATTCCAAAGCTTGTTCTGAGCTTATTCTTTTTATTGCAACATTATATTTTCTTCCTATACCTAGAGAATAACACAGTGTCCAAAACCTAGAATTCCTTTTATGCCTTATGTTTAGAAGGTTGATGACAACCTTTGCAAGAAAACTATTGTCCAAGTCCTTGTTGTTGATGGTTTTAATAAAAGGGAAAGGGTCTTTGATACTTTCCTATTACTTAGTGTGTTGCATTTTGTTGATATCCACAATTCATATATAGCCTTTTAGAAAATTAACCAAATAAGAAAAAGTTTCTTTTTTATACTACTTGCTCCTTCTAACTTTATACACATTTATTCTGATTACGTAAAGAATACAAAGAAAGGGAAAAAAAACCCACAGATGATATAGGGGAAAAAAAGAATATCAGCTTTAAAAAATAAGCAAGAAAATGCAATCTGACACTAAAACAAAATAACACAAAGACCAGAATTAAGTCCAATATCCCATGACATGGAATCTAAAAGAAATGATGAGGGGATTAGCAATTTTTTTTTCTCTGCTACTTCTCTGTTACTGCTGGAAATACTTCTCTGTACTGCTGGAAAACTCACCGTTTCTTTCCTCACAGATTAACAAAGAGTGGGTTTTCCAGAAGCCCAAGTTACCACTGTTGAGTGCTTTCAATCTATTTTAAATTTGCCCATGATTAGGCCAGTCTCTATGTAGTTGACAAACTAATAGAACAGTAATAATTACTTACTTTCAACAGTGAATTAGACACTACACTAAGGATTACTCATGTATTTTTAAAACCTCATGATGATTCTCCGTATTAAGTATCACTATTCATTTCACATATGAGAAAACTTGGAAA